CCCGCACCTCCAGCACCGCCGGCAAGGCCTTGGAGGCCACCCACCAGCGCCGCTGCAGCGGCCGGATCCATCAGGGTGTTGAGGCCGGCAGCGGCGGCAAGGTTGGCGTTGAGGCTTGACTGAGATCCGACGCTTGTGAGAGGGCGACCGTGCCCGGTGTGCGGCAGGGACACACGTTTCGCGGCGTTGTGGAGGCCCGCCAGGCCACCCGCAGAGGCTGCAGCAGCGGCGCCGGAAGCGCCACCAGCTGCGCCGTTAGCCCCCCCAGCGCTGTCACCAAAGGCATTGGCTACCACTGCCGCAGCGAGGGCGGCGTTGCCGCCGCCGCCGTTGGGCCCCAGGCCGGCGGCCGCTGCCGCTGCCGCTGCCAGCTGTTGCTGCTGCTGCTGTTGCAGCAGCTGCTGTTGTTGCTGCTGCTGCGCCGCAGCTACGGCCTGCGAGTTTGCCTGCTGCTGCTGTTGCTGCTGCTGTTGTTGCTGCTGCAGCAGCGCGGCAAGGGCGGCGCTGCTTTGCTGGCCCCCATGGACCCCTGTTGAAGTACTCGGGCCGCCACCGCCTAGGCCGAGGTTTGCGAGGGCGGCCTGCATGGACGCCCAGTCCAGTCCGCCGCTGGCGGCACTCGCGCCCGCGGTGGCGCCACGCAATGCAGAAGAGGCACCTTGCGCCGACGACGGTGGCGGCGCCGCTGCTGCCACAGCACTCGGCCCCCCCTGACTCAGCCCCAGGCTTGCAAGAGCCTGGTTCATCGCCAGATTATTTAGCAAAGCCTGGCTACTGCTGCCAGCCCCAGCCGCCGCCAGCTGTTGCAGCTGCTGCTGCAGAGCGGCCTGCTGCTGCAGCTGCTGCTGTAGAACCGCCTGCTGCTGTGCAACTTGGAGCTGCTGCTGCAGCGCCTGTGCCGCGGCAGCGCCGTCGAGCCCGGCGGCGGCGGCCGCCGCCGCTGCCGCCGCTGCAGCGCCATGCTGCCCCAGAAGGCCTTGAAGTCCACCCCCTACCTGTGGTAGCAACATTGCCGCATTCGCAGCTTGCTGCATTCCAAGCAGGCTCTGAGTTGTATTCACACGGAAAAGGCCCCCGTGGCCGCCGCCACCCCCGCCTGCGGCCGCAGCGGCTGCAGCGCCTCCGCCGCCGCCTCCACCCCCGCCGCCGCTGTTCGCCGCCAAATAGTCCAACGCACTCGCCGACATGACACGCGGCATCAGGAAGTCGCTACCGGCCGCGCCGCCGAGCCCGGCAGCCAGGTTCCCAAGCCCGGCCTGAGCAAGCAGCCGGGCAGCAGCGGCGTTGGGATCCAGAAGACCCGCAATACCAGCGGCACCGGCATTGACGGCGGCGGCTGCCGCGGCTGCATTCGCGCCGAGCGCTTGCATGGCCCGGTCTTGTGCCCATAGTGCCTCCTTCTCCGCCTTACTCATTCGCTTGTACCTGCGTCTCGAAAAGGTGCACCCGAGGTGCGAGGTGGTGGTAAGTGCGCACACACACATGTGTGTACTGGCGTATAAGGCGTGTGTGAGAGGGAAGGTGTACAAACATGCGCGTCTCGTAATGTGCAGCACATAGAATTTCAGAAGTTTAGAATTTTAGATTTTAACCAACCCTGCAAAAGCTCTCATCAAGTCAAAATTATCCCCGCGTCCACATAAACGAGAGGCTCACACTTCACACTTGACTGAGACCCAACACACACACACACACACACACACACACACACATACACACACACATACACACACATCAACCAACAACGGGAAAACGATGCGTTGGGAGAGTAAAAAGCCAACTGGATGCTAACTGGATCCTCCGGAGCCCCCCCCTGCACGACAGCCCATTCTCTCGCCCACCTCGCGGCGAGCTCTCGGTCGTAGTGGATGTTGTTCGGGTTGAGCTTGTTGGAAAGATTGACAGCAGGCTCGGGGGGCAGATCGTCGTCCAGCAGACGAGCCAGGGACGCGGCCGCCGTGAGCCCTGTCAGGTTCTGGGTCGAGCTAGACCTGCAGGGGTTGGTGGCAGGAGGACGACGAGGTGGAGGTGGAGGTGGAGGAGGGGGGAAAGACGAACCACAAACGAGTGAAGCTGCTGCTGCTGCTGAGGAGGAGGAGGAGGGGGGGCAACACATCCGACCCAGATGGTATGCGCTGGTGGTCATGCAATGGCTGTAACAATGGCTGTAATGCATAATATCTACTATTACATATAGTGTAGAGGGATAGTGTAGACTGGGACTTGGGTCACGCACAAATTTTTCATGAAGTTTTGCGGACACTCATGACTCATGTGGAGGTCGGGTCGGGGGGGAAAACGAAACAGAAGGCCCTTGTGAACGACCGAGCCTCCCTTGGAGCTCGCGTGTAATTTTTTTATGCAATGTACATCGCCCCAATGCCTGTTCAGGCAGTACAGAGTATTCCGAAGCGAGAGGTGCGCGCACAGCGACAGGTGGGATAACAAAGGAAAAGGAAAGGAGCCTCAGCGGCCTCAACAAAAAACAACACACTCCCGACTCAACTCGTCCCTCGTTCCCCCTGCTGTGGGGATACCCCCAGCTGTGTATGTGTGTTGGGTATCTCGCGCAATGGGCCTCCGGCAGACCCGCCTGGTACAATGTGTACCTCTTCTCCTCCTGCGCGCACCCCTACATCCCCTTCCCTCCCCTCTCACCGGCTCATGGACTTCCCGCCCGCCATGCCCAGGTTGGCGGGCACCGTGGAGGTGTCCTTCTGGTAGCGGATCACCATGGGCTTGCTGCCGGTGACGGAGGGCGCCGGCTGTCCGTCGAGCGCCATCTTGGCGGCGACGGCATGCTGGGGAAACCAGGGCAGAGGGAAGCGGGTACAGGGCAGAGGGTACAGGGCAGAGGGCAGGGGGCAGGGGGTAGAGGGAAGGGGTTTACATGCAAGGAGCAAAGAGTCCTCAATTGTGGCGATATGCGTTCAAAGCACCTGGAACTGCTGGCCAATGGGATTCAAAAGCGGTGGTGATGAAGACGCCGGGGGATTGCCGCACCGGGACGAGCCGCTGACCGTATATACCCATGTGGACAGGGAGGGCCCCGGAGACGCACCGCAATGTCGCCCGCCCGCCAACGTTTCCAACCGCCACGCCACCGCATACATGCTGCCTTCACCCGACGCATTTCTAATCCCGGCCACCTGCCTGTGCCGCAATGTAGTTGACGAAGGCGAATGTCTTGCCGGGAAACACGCGAACGGACTCCAAGGGCCCGAAGCGCCTGCGAGCGAGTAGTGCAAGTGTGTGAAGGGAGGGAGGGAGGAGGGAAGGATGTGGGTAGGATGTGGGTAGGTTAGGGTTTGGGGCAGTATGGAGCAGATGGGGTGGGAGAGAGAGAGAGAGAGGGGGAGGGGGAGGGAGGGAGGGAGGGGGGGAAAGGCGAGGGGCGTCAAAACGGAAAAATTGAGGAAAGGATGCAAAATGAAAATGTACGATGTAAAAGTATAAAAAGCTCAGGGCCCTGTGGTTGCAGTTGTGGTCGCAGCTGGTTGGTTGCCAAGAGGGGGCGCAGCAAGCCTGGCTGTAAGCAAGTAAGTGAACAGACGGGTGGACGGATGGGTGGAGCATGCAGCCGTGGACGATGGATGCCGGGCCGTGCAAAGTAAAAGTCAGGTGGGAACAGAGAATGAAAACAACAGGAAAAGGGCAGAAGCGATATAGTTCAAACCGCGGGTGGTAGCCCGCCTGCCTTTTAACCAAAAAGGGGAGAGGAGGTAATCCCGTTGCTGCTGCTGCTGACCCACTGGCCTTCACTTCACTTCACTCCACTCCACTTACGCAAACAGGAGCTCCATGGCGAGCTTATTGGGCTTGAGCGGGATATTACCCAGCCACAGATGACGGCTAGGCTTGCCCTCCGGCACATCCGCCGCCCCGTCGCCATCTACGCCACCAGCCTCCACCTCACCGCTGGTGCTCACACCGCCGCCAGTGCTGCCCCCGGCGGCGACTGCTGTGGCGGCAGCTCCGCCGCCACTGACGGACCCGCCGCCAGCGGCGCTGCTGCCGGCGCCGGCGCCGTCAGCGTCTTCCGAAGTGCGGTACAACTCGCTGCCGCCAGGCCCTCCCCCACCAGCGACGGCCGGGTGCTGCTGAAGCTGTGCCTGTTGCGAAGGCTGTTGGTCACCAGGAACCGCTGCCGCCGGCGCCATGGCGGCGGCATGCAGGGCAGCAAAGTCGCTAACGCTACCGCCGCCGCCGCCGGCAGCACCACCCAGGTGCCCCATGCTGCCGTGCGCGTGCGACATCTGCTCAAGACCACCGAAGCCGCTGCCACCAGAACGTAGGCTATGTGCCGACCCTTGTGACTGCAGAAGGGCATGCTGCTGCTGCAGCGGCGGCGGCGGCGGCGGCGCCGTCGGGGATCCCGCAGCTGCTCCCGAGGCCTGCAGCAGCACCGCATGGAGCGCCTGCTGCTGCTCCAGGGGTAGAAGGCCCTGCATCGCCGCCGCTAGCGCATTTGGACCGAATCCCGCCGCCACCAGCGCAGCCTCAACCCCCGCCGGCAAACCAAGTCCCAGCAGGCCAAAGCTATCCGTGGTACCGGCGGTGCCGATAGCGCTGCCTACCCGAGATGGCGGGCTGCTTCCCGGAAACCCCGTGTCGGCGGCGGCGCCGCCACTGCCTAGCTGCATTGCGGGAGCAGTACCCGTTCCGCAGTACCGTACGATAATAGGTTTGTCCTCGTACGACATGTGCGGAATTTCGCGACCGTGCAGCGCGTGCGCTGCTCGTGACGCGTCCTCAGCGCGCATGAAGAGAACGACGGCTGACAGGGTGCCAGGCGCCACCATGACGTCCTGAACCGGGCCGAACTGCTGGCATAAAGCCTGCATGGAACCAGCAGCCAAAAGAGGGACAGGGGGCGGCCGCCGGGGTAGCGAGGTGGAGAAGGGTGGCATCTCTCCCTCCGAGAGGGGTCACCCAGCACCCAGCAGGTCTGAGGGGCTCAATCGCACAATGTGCACACACCGCAGCGGGTTGCGCAACACAGACGAACCGGCGCGCAACAGCCCTGCCAAGAATTACAATAATAACCCTAAGAAACCCTAAGATGCGAGATGCTCCGTCCCTGATCCGCTTCAGGCATTGCTCCTGCCTTCCCCCTTTCCCCGATGTCGCGCTCCACAGCACCCGTTACGGGTTCATGGTCATCAGAACCGAGTACGGTCTGCTGCCTTTCCAAGACAGGGAGGCTCAACAAGGCCAATGCAGGCCACCATTGCACCACCAGCCAAAATAGCTCAGGCAAGCAGCATCAGGCAAGCAGCATCAGGAGACAGGAGAACCGACTTTCGCACGCTCCTTCAAAACGTACGTACCTGCAGATGTCCAGACGGCAGCCCAGGTTGCACGTTGCCCAGCCACAGCTGACGAGATGGCCCACGGGTCATTTCCTCCGCGAGGTCCCACGTCTCCCCGCCGCCCGCGCCCGCCAGCACGTCGTGGAGCGGCCCCACGCCGCGATCGCTCAGGCCACCATGCCCCATTCCACCTCCTCCTCCGGCCGAGGCCCCTCCAAAGCCGCTGTTGGGCATCAACCTTGCGCGAGCCTCCAACGACCCGGCAGGCGCCAGGCTGTGCAAGTCAGCGTGGCTTCCATGGAGCACACCTCCGCCGATGGGAGCTAGTTGCGAGGCCCCAGCCGTGGCGGCGGCGCCACCCAGCACCCAAGGCTCCGGAATTCCCGCCGCTGCCGAAGGGGACAGGGCGAGGCCTGCCGTCGGCGTCGGCGCCGTCGGCGCGCCCTGGAGCGATAGGTAGCTGCTGCTCGGCCCGCCGCGGTGGAGGCCTGGCGGCGGCGCCGCCGCCGCTGATCCCGCGCTGCCTAGCGTGTTGCTGATGAAGGCAGCTGGCCCAGGGTTATACATGGAGGTGCTGCCGCCGCCGCCATGCCAGCCGCTTGCCAGGGAGCCTGCCGGGGAGGGCCCCGGCGGCATCGGCGTGCCGTCGATGGAGCCCGCCAGGCTGTCAGAGCAGATGCTGCCGTCACCAGCGCCGCCTGGGGTGCCTGCACCTCCAGTGATTCCCCGTGGGTCCTTGCCTGTCGCAGCGAGTCCCGGCGCTCCGAAAACACCAAAGGATAGGAGGCCTGCTGCGGCTGGCGGCGGCTGCGCAGCGACCACCATATCAACAGGCTGTGGCGGCGACGAAGTCGCCGCAGCCAGCAAACCGGGTGGCGGCTGTGGTGGCGGCGGCGCGCTCATGAAACCTCCAGGCCCGACTAGCAGACCGGGAGGCGCCTCCAAAGCTGAGGAGGTCGAGAGACCCATGGGTCCGCCGACGTTGAGCAAGTTGCTGAAAGACGATCCGCGAAAGCCCCCAAAGCCGCCGCCAGCTGCGGTGGCGGCGGCAGCGCCAGCGGCATCGCCGCCGGCTCCAGAGGTAAAAGACATCGACAATCCACTGAGACCGCCGAGGGCCCCCGCACTGTTGCCGCTGGTACCGGGACCTGCCGCCATGGGGACGAGGCCGGCGGCGGCGGCGGCCGGCCCGCCAACACCAACTCCGACGCCGACGCCGACACTACTGGTAAGGTTCAAATCATCGGACAGGAAGGAGCCCTTGGAAACGACCCGCCGCATGCCCAGCACCGAGCCAGGACCCGCACTGCCGCGTAGCATCGTGATTTGCTCGTCCATGGACGAGAGAGGTGAACGCTGACAATTCGCTCCGGCGCTGCCGCCGCTCTCGTCTATAGGGTTCAGCGGACCAAGCATATGCTGGTGGTGCTCCACTGCGAACGCGGCTTTCAGCGATGGCTGCTCGACCTGGCCGACGCCATCGCCGCCGGGCTCTCCTACAAGCAAACCCGCCGTCGCCGCCGCTTGCGCCGCCACCGCTGCCGCAGCTGACCCTCCAACCGACGACGACCGCGATGACCGATGCGACTGCGACTGCGACTGCTGCTCGTCGGCCGGAGATAACCGGCCCCCATGTTGCGGCTGCTGAAGCTGGTCTGGTTCGTGCTTGGCCGGCTCCGCAGCCGGCGGCTCAACTGGCGTCGGCGTCGTGGCCATGCGCAGGCTCTCCGCCTGGGCCAGCGCAATCAGTCGGGCCTCCTCGGCCGCCTGCTGCCGGGCCTCCTCCTCTAGCTGACGTCTCCGCTGCTCCAAAGCCGCCTCGTACTCTTCCTCAGCAGCCCTGAGGCAAAGCACCACCACGATCACCACCACCACCACCACCACCACCACCACGACGATGACCGCGTTATTAACATCCGGTAACATCCAATGCCACTTAGCGACAAGGACGCCTTAGTGAAAAAGCAAGACGACTGATACCGGGGAGGCATTGATGTCTGGCAGAGAAGAACGCGGGCCGCGGGCTCGGAATAGAGAGAGCCAGATGAGATGCGCACGGACGGCCAAAAGAGCAGGGTGGTATATATATACATACGCGCTATCTGGGCGGTTTCCCCTGATACAGGTTTCTCCGCCGCCGCGATGAACCCCCCTTCCCCACCCTACACACACATACATACATACATACAGATTACACACTACTCCCTATCCCTTGCCCACCTGCGCTTCCTCTCGAGCTCCTCCCTCAGACGTCGAGCCTCCTCACTCTCGGCTGCATTGTGGTGGGAGCTGCCGACGGGAGGGGATGAGCTGGATCCGTGGGTCGTTCCATGCTGGGAATGCGAGTCGCCTTGCCCGCCACCACCGCCTCCGCCACCACCAGAGGAGGTGGTCTTATTTTGCCGGCTGGATCCCGAAGAGGCTCCGGAACCCAGACCGCCCGCTCGTTTGGAGGCCCCGGTCCCATTCCCACCCGTGCCGTGTGACGCATCGCTTGCGCCCTCCGCCTGTCATTGCATAGGTGTCAACGGTAAAAGCAGTAACATGGTACAGGGGGTGGGAGGAGGAGGCGGAGAGTGGAAACACGGAGGGCAGTCGGCGAAGGCTGCTCAGCAGCGCACACGCACACGCACACGCGGTCCATACAAGTAACATAACATGGCCGCAGCAAGGAACATGCGTCCTCTTTCCTCCCCGAATTTCCCCCCCCCCCAAAAAAAAGCGGCTCACCTCCAGCTCTTTCAGCAAAGCGTCCTGAGCCGCCTTGGCCGCAGACTCCGTAGAAACCTCTAGAATCTAAAAGTACAATATGGTATTCACCATGTCCCATATGGCATCAGCAGCAGAAGCAGCAGCAGCAGAAGCGGACGCAGAAGCACCGCAGGTGGGTGGAGGAGGAGGGTGAAGAGGCGGCAGGTTGATAGGAGGCATCAGCACAGGAGGCGACAGGACAGGCAAGGCAAGTCCGTTCCTCTACTCAGCTCGTCATGCCCGTCACAACCTCATGCATGCATGCAGGTCAAAAACCCCAAGCGTTGTGTTCCCAGAGGAGGGTCTCAGGGTCACAGCCAAATGCCCTCTGGGGGCCCCACCACACCGTGTTCGCGGCCGACACGAGAGGGGATAACCCAAAGGTCCACTACACATAATGCACAAGTGCACATACGCACCTGCACAGCCGCAGCGTGCTTACGTGCCCGCGCCAGCTGCAACGCGTTGAGCCCCGCACGCGTGCGGCGGAGAAAGTCGAGCCCCGGTCCTGCAGCCTCGATGAAAGCCGCTAGCAGCGGCGACACACCTGCGGCCGCAAGGAAGTGCAACGCGCCGCAGCCCTCCCGGTCTGTGGCGTTGACGCCATCGGGACTGCCGCTGCACCATGACAGCAGCCGCGCAGCTGCACGACACGCCGCCAGTACATCCGCCCCCCGCACCAGGTCGTGGATAAAGCAGCAGTGGCAGGCGTAGCGGCAGCAGCCCACGGAGAGGTACCATACCGGCGCCGCCGCCAAGGAGCCGCCATTCGGCGCCTCCTCAAAGCTGATCGATTCGCCTGCGCCGGCGCCGCCGCCCTCCGACAGGTGCCGAACGAGACCCGCCAGGCAGGTCAGCACGTGCGGCGGGTAGGAAGAAGCGGCGGCGGCGGCGGCAGCGCCGCCATTGCTGCCACCCACGGGTTGCTCTATCAGCGCGCCAGCGACGGTCAACGCGTAGACATTGACGATAAAGAGGTCTTTAGACGCGTAGACCTGTTGTTGTGCCTGCTGTGCCGCGTGGTGGGCCTGCTGTGGGTGGTGATGATGATGGTGGTGGTGCTGCTGCTGCTGTTGCAGCTGCTGCGCCTGATGCTGCTCCAGGGTTTGCCGCGCAGCCGCCGTGATGCGAACAACTTGGTCCAGGATTTCCGCCTGGCGCGCCGTCGCCAGCTGTAACGCGGTACGACCGGGAAAGCTATGCAGCAGCACATGCAGCGTTCGTAGCACCACGGCCTGTAACCGAATGTCGCTGGCAACGCGCGCAGTCGCCAACACGGCGTCCATCGCCAGACGGAACACCGCGAGCAGCGAGCCGCCCCCGGCCCCGCTCCCGCTCCCGCCGCCGCCGCCGCTGCTGCTGCTAGACCTAGCCATTCCGTCGCCGCTTATCAACAGCCCCGCAACAGCGACGGCGGCTACGTCGCCATTGCGATCCGAAGATACCTGCACGGCATCACTGCCGGCGGTGGCGCCGCCGCCGCCGCCGCTATTGCTACGGCTGCAGGGCCCGCTGCTACTGCTGCTGCTGCTGTCACCGCTGCCGTTGGTGGCTCGGTGGTGGCTGTTGCTTCCCGTCTGGTCTTTCCCGGCGTTGCGGTTCACGGTGGCGGCGGAAGCAATGACGGCAATGTAGTCCAGGCAGTGCTTCACCAGCGGATCATCCTGAAGACTCCCAAAAGCAGGACAGCGGGATGAATGATGAGACGTGGACAAAATACGGCAAATAGGGAGAACAAAAAAGAAATGCACGGGGAGGCGCTGAGCGGGAGATGCATCTGGGCGACGAGCAGGGTGCAGAGACCGCGTGGCAAATATGAGCTCATATGGCGTGGAAGTTGAGACGAGTCAGACGAGTCGCGTCTCAAAGAACGCACAACAACTCGATGGTGAGGCAACACATGAGGTATGGAGGAGGGGAGGAGCAAGCCAGCACAGTAGAACATCACAGCAGGACGTCCAGTGCTGTGGATGTCCAGTGTGCCCGGGGAACCCAATAATCCCCTAACCCAATCAACATTCGGACGGCGCTGTGATATGTGCCGCGCCGCGCCGCGCCGCGCCGTGTCACGCACCTGCAGGTGGCAGCTCTGCAGCATCGACACCACCACTCGCAGCACCGGATCACTCAGCAGCGGCCACGCCTGCGCCAAGGCCACGTCGCGCTCCTCCTCCCCCGAAGCAGCAGCAGCAGCAGTAGCAGCAGCAGGAGAACCACCCGAACCTGTAGCATCCCTTGACCCTGTGCGGCGAGTCTGCGACAGGATGTGGCTGGCCATGCGGCCCAGGCTCCAAACCGCTGCCCGGGCAACCTCAATGTACCTGTAAGAAAGAGACGACACAACACCAAACAGAAAGAATTGCGAGAAGATGACAGATTCACAACCAGGACAATTAAACAGATGTAAGCGGCACAAACAAACGGAGTCGAGTAGACGTGTAATATTACTGGCTAAGGGAGACTAAGGGAATGAGAAAAGGAAGCGCTTCTCAGATCCAAGTAGATGGCTGTCATCGGCAGAAGGGAGTCTTTTTCAGATCCAGATCCAGTAGTAATGAACGCAGTAGATCCGTAGTAGTAGTAGATCCGCAGGAATGAACGCCGCTAGATCCAGATCCAGATCTAGCGGCGTTCATTACTGCGGCGTCCCCCCAAAGCTCCCCAACCCCCTCTTCCCCTCCACGCGCCACAGACACTCCTCATTTGTGATCAACGGCTCCCAGACCTCCTAAGCTGCAAACGACACCTCAACCCCGTCCGCCCAGCTCCGCCCAGCTCCGCCAACAGCCCTCCCGAACCTCTGCTTCCGAGCCCGTCAACCTTCAATCCTCCGCCCATCCATCCAACCCATACATCACGCGATCCATCCCCCATCCCCCATCCAGTCGCTGCCCCTTCCCCTGCCGTTGCCCCTCAACGCACGACGATTCCCCGATTTTCTGTCTCTTGTAGTTTCTGCGCGCCCTCGCTATTCCCTTCCCTCCTGATGTTTTAGCCTTAGGCGGATGCAGCCATGATATTACATGCACACATGGGACTTCCGCCGCTTCTGCTTCGCGGAAAAGGCCAACCACCTTTCTTTCCTGCGTGCACCTGCCTTCGGAATGTTGCCCGTGCTACCCCCCATATTTCACCTACCACACAGGTAAGCCGTCGGTAGAACCGACGTTACCCCGGGAAGGTCGGGAGGGCGTTGCACATCACACTGTCAGCCACTTAGGGAAGTAGCGACAGTCTTTATAGCCAGAGACAATCGGTTGGTTCACACGAAGCGTTTATCACGAGGTCTGACTATGACTCCAGCACGATGCGTCTTCGGCAACAACAACACCCTGTCTTCGGCAACAACAACACCCTGTATTCGGCAACAACAACCTTCTCGACACAACGCTGGACATCATGCGGCGCCGAGGGCGACTATCGACTCCTGGGTACACGACACAACCCAAAAAACATATCAGTAGTAAAGTTCACTAAGTCGCGTCATCACATTGGGCGCCCTCACCAGCTTGCGACTTTGGATGTCGGCAGGTAGTTGCTTTCCCCTCATTATTTGACTTTGCTGACCCCCCATCCATCGAATTCTTCCGCCAGGGTAGCAGCTGTTTTCGTCGCTCCCAAGCGCGCGCGTGTCCCCCCCCAGAATGCCCCTTCCCTCGTAGCCCTTAGATAAAACTTTGAACGCCGCACCCTCGACGTGCCCTCCCATCCTTCCTAGCTTTCCCTCTTGCCCTCCCGGACTAGCTTTCCTAGCTATCTTTCCTATCTTTCCTAGCTTTCCCTCTTGCCCTCCCGAACCACGTGAATCATATCTCGCACTCACTTGTCCTGCAGCTGAAGCCGCGCAATGTTGGCGACCATGACGATGCTCTCCAATACGTCCCGCCCGGGTACTCCGGGGCTGCAGGCCATCTCCGACAACAGCATCGCGCCGTGCTCCTGCACGTTGAGCTCCAGGCTCATGACGGACAGACCTGCAATGGCCGCAGTGTGACAGATTTTCAAAGACAGATGCGACAGCAGCAGCAGCATGATGTTTCGACACGCGCTCGGGTGTATTAGGAAACAGGGCAGGGGAGGGAAAGACGAACCACGAACGAGGGAAGGTGCTGCCAGGGCAAGAGTGGGGAGTGGGGAGTGGACGCGTTGAACGCCCGTGTGATGTTGACGGCGCTGACAGTTCTAAAATTGCCTTGCTCGGCGACCCGCGCACCACATCTCCCGTCCTCGCCCTCGCCCTTGCCCGCGCCCCCCCACCTGTTGGTCCCTTTTCCGCCGTCAACCACCTAACGCGCCGCTACCCTTCCTCGAGCCGTTACCTTGCAATATGAGCTTATAGCCACCGTCCGCCAGAAGCCGGGAGGTGTTCAGGGGGTTAAGCAGGCATGTGTAGTGAAGCGCCCGGAAAATGTCCGCCACGACTTGGGATCCCTCGTCCGATCCAATCCGCTGTTGCGGCTGCTGCTGCTGCAGCTGTTGTTGTTGTGTTGGTTGTTGCTCGGGTGCAGTCGACGGTGCCGCTGGGCTCGAACCCGACACCGCAGCCCCAGCCATCCCTGCCTGTTGTTGCTGCTGTTCCTGGACATCAGCAAGGAAGCCGGGCAGTGCCTCCAGCAGCAGCTGCACTGCGCCTCGCTCCCCCAGGAGCTCCTGTGTCGCCCTGAGGGAGTGTCGAGGTTAACACCACACACCCGTCACACAACGCCGTTTGTCGCGGCGCGGCACTGCGTTGCTATGTTGGGGATGTCGCGAGTCCCTACCGCGAGATCTTAACAACGCGGCACTAGACTGCCATTAATGCACAGCAAAGCGCAATCCCGTTCCTCGGGACCCCCTACATGGGAGCCCTTAGACATGAGTTATTGCCAAATAGCTGCGAATGTTAGCAGCAACAGAAAAACGCTGCTGCTGCGCATGAATGATAATAGTGGGGATAGAGGAGGACAGGTATAGCAGCAGACGAGGCACGGAACACAATACCGGCGGGGCGTGACGAGATGGAACTGCCCCAGGATTTCCTTCCACGGCCCCGCCGTGAGCCATACCCCGGGGTATGCGGACGGAAGTGGATATCCCGCACTAACGCCGACAAGATCCGACGCGTAAAGCCCTCCACTAAGGTGGATACTCTAGCCGTCTGTTGATCCAGGCGTGCAGGCAGGCCGGAGAAGCGCGGGATTGCGGCGGGCATGCAAATCATCACAGCGGAAAACATAGCAGAGAGTCATAAGGTGAGAATCAATACCCACTTGTCATAGTAGCACCGACAATTGAGGCACCCGCTTAGGCTCAGCAGGGCTTTAATCGCGGCTACTTTCACTTGCTTGCTGCTAGATGACTTGAGCGTGTCAACGACACAGAGTACCGCCTCATCCACGGCGGAAGGCTATCCAGAGGGACACGGGGGATCATATAAAAAGCATTGGGGGAGGGTTAGAGAGGACAGGCCGCACAGCTGCATACAGCCAAAGCCGGAAGGCAGAGCTAAGGGAGGACGGGGACGGCGTGTTTTACTCAGTCGGCGCAAGGAAATGTAGTCTCCGGCCCCAATCTACAAGTTTAATTTGTTACCGCGTACAGAAAGCTAGCAACAAGGCGGGATGGCAGCATTATGAGACCAGGAATCCGCTCAAGGGCAATTTGAGAAATGGAAGGATATTGTAGAAGCCGCACAAGCCCACCTCTCGATCAAGGTCCGTACATGAGGTGCAGCTTTGCCCTAGAGCTTCCACAGCAGCGCAAGCCGCCACTTGAACCTGCCGTGCGTTTTTGATGGGCAAGTCATCAAGTCGACAGCCAAGGCCGACACACACAGAGCCACGATAGCCTCTAGATATAAAGCAGATAGTACAAAAAGCATCGCAGCTTCCAGCATAAGAGCGCCCGGGGTAGCGACCACGGCGCGAACGTGCAACTCAGGTTCAACCCGAACGAGTTGCAAATATGTGTAACCGGGCAACCCTCGCGGCGCAAAAGATTTCTAAGTACGCCTGTGACCCAGTTAGCGCAGCCACGCACCCCTAAACGCTAAATGGTATTCAGCTTAGCTCGTAACGCCGCGCCTTATCCAAGTCGCCGCACCTCTGGAGCCTGAGCTACCCGCAGCGCCCCAATTATGCTGAGCCATAAGCGCTTTACTGTATCAGCTGGCCAATTCTTAGGCGCTTGCTCCGAGAATTCACGCCGGAGTAGACACAGCAGGCTGCAAACTCGCTGAACGTCAGAGGCCGGTCCGCCAAAAGCAGCTTGCAATTCTGCTGCCACATGATCAGCTCTTTCTCCGCTGCTGAGCTGGGACGGGTCGTCCCGCTGGCTCCAGTTGCTCATGTCCTGGGCCACCACCAACTCATCCTAACCTACACGGGGTACCGCTCACACATCTAAAAGTGCCTTTGCTACTGTTAGAACAGGAACATGCACTACGTGGAGCAAAACGTGTACAACGGCTTTGCCCTATGCCAAAAAGGTCCGGCTCCCCTGGAGGCTGCGACGAGTGCGCTAGTATGCTAATAGTTGATTTATTTGCAGCTCTGCTGTACAAGCATTGATGCGCGTCCGGCTGTGTGAAAATTGCCCTAACAACCTGACAAAAACGATGCCCTTGGCGCCAAGCGCACCTGTTCTTGTCTTGCGTGGCCAATCAGCGCGATCAAAAACAATGTTCAAATTTGTACAGGTCACGGTAGTTACATTGGCCTGATCGGGTGTATGTCGTCCATTTCGTTACCTTATCGCCGTTTGGCGTTTGCATCCACCGTACACCTATAACGCCACAATGCCGCACAGTATGACCCATCCCGCTACAACAAGCATACATGTTGCCAAGCCTCCTGATTGCATTGGGGGAAGATGACCCACGGGGCCGTTTGCACTTTTACTGCCACAAAAGCTGTCGCACACGCGTTTGATGGTGCTGAGCTAGGTCAAGTGTTCAGGTACTGCGAATACCGCTGGTACCTTGGATATCACTAGGGCGATAAATAGACACACTGTACGGTGGATGAGAAAGGTTAGCAGCGCTTAACAAATAACGACACAGCCTAGGTACGGTTGGCCTTTCAGAGCAGGAAAACTAAGACAGCTTTCCGGTCTGCCGCAGGGGACGACATGGCGCGATTGAGCGTACCGGTACCGGTAGCCACAGTCAAGTGCATAAGCACACGCGCCTTGGTCCCCTTCTATTCCACAGCGTTCCTTTACTCTGCAGCGTCTTACATCAATTATTGCCTCGTCATCCTGCAAACTATACTATATGGTCTGGCCTTCCAGCAGGCAGCCGCTCGGTGTCAAGGTGCAGGTTCTTGATGCCCAGACTAGCACCGCCGATTGCCTTCGAGCAGCAAGCAACCCTAAGTCTTCAAGCTAAGCACGCCATCGAGAGATTCCCTACAAATGCATATCCACTGCATATCGCGTTTTAGGCAAAGGCGTCGCGACGCGCGATCAATCTAAAGGATTGGCAACTGACCCTTTGGCACGATTTTCCTTTTCTTGGACGACGAAGACGTCACCAGCGTGTGCACCTTACCACGACGGACACCACTGCCGCGTGTTTCGCAAACCCTCCTTTAGCTCGCTCCTCCCATTCAGCTGGACGCACACCTAGGACGTCATTACCGATACTAGTAGAACACCCCAAAGGACAGGACTCTATCAAACCCCCATCCTGTCCAACAAAAAGACGCACGACTGGCAGCCAAAGCCCTCGGCCTTTACCTCCATGCCGAAATATTTGCACTCTCTTCAGGGTGACATCCCTCCATCATCTTACACCATCAACCAAAACACAACAAACAAACAAACAGACGAACGGACAAACAAACAGAGAAACAAACAAGCAAACAGACAAGCAAGTAAACTCGGCATTTCCACCAAATCCCTGCATGTCTCAAAAGGACCCGGACCTGAACTGCCACCGAAAGCAAGGTAAGGTGCCGCGCCAGTCGGAACGACCGGTCCTGAGACGTCCGAGCCGCCCCCAACCCCACACGCCGCCATCTCCTCTGGAGCACTTCCCGCGCCGTGATCTGACGCCGGATACGGACCCACAGTATCACAGTATTTAGGCCTGTACTGGATCTGAGCAAACTCTCTGTTATTAATACAAGAAGGACCAACTGATCAAGGCTAGCATCTTTGCCAAAAGCTGTAGTAAAGCCCACGATTACAGACAACACAAATCGAAGTTTTTTAGTCATAAGAAAGCTGCTTTTCCTTATCCTTACCCTATATTTCTCTAAGGGGCTACGTCCGTCCCTAAGTTCCTGCTGGTGCACCGATCTCATGGGGGCCATAACTCCATCGCCCCCCTCCCCTTCCCTCTCCCTCCCCCCCATACGAAGGCACTCTTTCTCCACTTGCAGGTAGTAGTAACCTTCAAGCGGCGTCTCTGACTCAGTTTTAAAAGAAGTGAAGATGGAAACCAGATGGAACCTGGATCCGGATCAGTGCGAATCTCGTCGCGTTTTCTGCGGCGATCTTCCCCCCGAAACACCTTTTTCAAAAGAGTCAATAGAACCCCACCTCTACCTCCAGCTCTACCTCTACCTCTACCTCCACACTTAACCATAACCCGGTCGCCGCAAACATCTCTTACACAGGGCGTGCAGCGCGATTGGGAAAAGACACCCCAAGCCACTGCCGCCACAGCGCCCATGCTCGGGACGGCAAAGCTAGCCACGGCAGGCGTGCCAAGTATACATACATGCACACATACATACATACGTACAGATACCGTACTGACTACGAAGCTGCTACCAGCGCGGCAGGGGTCTGTGTTGTGACAACCGTGATGGTGTCACCCACGGACAATACGCCGGGAGTGCGCGACACAACGTTCCAGCCAAAGAAAACCGCGTGTGTCCAGGCCTTGTGCTGCGTGCTCCAACCAAGTACCTTGCCCGACCTGGCGGCGCGGCAGCGGCAGCAGCGGCGGCAGCAGCGGCGCGGTGGCGGCAGCAGCGGCGCGGCAGCAGCACACCGGCGGGTAAGGGAAACAGGTCCCGGCTGTAGGTTGGGTGTATTGGCTGGCTGATGTGAAAGGACGGGGCAAGGGAAGCAACTCATGACGTCATGAGCCATGAACGATCTAACCTGCGAGTCATACGAGGTCGCTGATCACCCAAAGGTTACCCAAAGGCTTGGCCGAGATCTGTACAGTAGCAGGTACATAGCACGGCACATATGACGTCTACAAATACACGCGCCAAGGCGCTCCCCCCGCATCTTGAGGGGGCTTTTAAGCGGGGCCAGCTACCACAGGATCCATTTACCAGCCAGCCAGCCAGCCAGCCCGCGCCCCCCCGCTGGGCCCACCTGAACGTCCCCAGCGCCTCCAGCGGCTCATCACCCACCCGGGCGGTGTCCTGATTGATGGTGGTCACCTTGCACCTGGGGAGGAGACCACCACCACCATAACCACCATAACCACCACCATAACCATCACAATTAGCAAGGGAAGGACTTTATGAACGAAGTGTACGGAAGAAGTAGTCAACGACATAACGGCTTCCTCCGGCAAGCTCGTTCCTCCCGAACCCTCCAGGTCCCTCCCCCAGCTCCGTCCGCATCAAGCAGGTACTAGATAGCCCTTCACCCCCTTTTTCGTGGGGCTCTGGACGTGTCGGCATTTGAGCCTTTGCTTCTGCCACTGCGCCATATGATTCCCTAAGCACACACGTACATACATACACACATACACACAGCACGCCACCTATTATATGAGTCCATGCCCCACCTGGAGCAGGGCTTCACGGCGGTGAGCCTCAGGGTGGGTCCATCCGAGGGGAAAGGAGCGGAGGAGGACTGCACCTCCATGTCCCGCCAACCGTCCTCAGCCCAGGGATCAGCTCCCGCCACCTGCTGGGTTGGGTGACTGCGTGACTGCGTGTGTGTGCGTGACTGCGTGTGTGTGTGCGTGTGTGTGTGTGTGCGCGTGTGTGTGTGTGTGTGTGCGTGTGTGTGCGTGTGTGTGCGTGTGTGTGCGTGTGTGTGCGTGTGTGTGCGTGTGTGTGCGTGTGTGTGCGTGTGTGTGCGTGTGTGTGCGTGTGTGTGCGTGTGTGTGCGTGTGTGTGCGTGTGTGTGCGTGTGTGTGCGTGTGTGTGCGTGTGCGTTTATATGAACTGAATCGGGACAAGGAAACGCGCGAGATGGCAAGCGAGCGAGCAACATTACCGTAGCGAGTAGCGCAGAGTGATGAAGCAGTCGACATCGCAGAACTGAGACGTCTCCAAAGGATATGTTGACAAGGAAGATGGCGCCAGCGCGAGTGTGTGTATGTGTGTATGTATGCATGTGAGTTTATGGGTGAGATAAACCGAGCCGCGAGAAACGTAAACAATAGCAATTTCTTCATGTGCGTGTTGGAAAGCGAAAAGAAGGGGATATCGGATCCGACGCAGGCAGAATGGTACCAAGCCAGCCCCTCTCCCCCCCATCTCACCAAACTAACTAGAACATAGCAATCCATTACGCAAGTACATATGTACAGATGGACAGGGGGTCACGGACAGCGGATCCGAGATTACAGCAAAAAGCTGGAACAAACAACAGAACTGATTTGAAGTGACAGAAACGCCCCGTTGGTTAGTTGGTTAGATTGTTAGTTGGGTCCCTCTCGGCCCCTAACAGAGGAAAGAGTCCTCTCCTGTTTCGGTCGGTTGCAGTTGGGAGTTGAGAATCGGTTACGTCAAAATCGAGGCTTTAAAAGTTGATTCTTAACACTGGATTCAGTTAATAACGACAATCTCTTCTTCTCTCCCCCTTCCAACCGCAAGACTGGCTGCATACCGGCGAGAAAACTATGAACTCCCAAACCGGCTCTCACACCTCTATGTTGGGGCGGAAGCGGTTCATGGGCAGCGGCTCCGCGAGCTTGGCGTTCAGGGCGGCCAGGGCGGCCTGCGGAGGGGTGGGGAGGGGTCGGCGGGGTCAGCGGGGTACATACATACATACATACATACATACATACATACATACATACATACATACATACATACATACACGTTCGAAAATTCAGCCCCTTCCCCGCACACCCACACACGCACTTATCTCCAATTGAACAGCCGAGTGCTTCGGCGGTCTCCCCCGTTAGGTGCCCCGGTCAGGCTCAGGTCAGGCAGATATGTAACACACACACAGACACACACACACAAACAAACACAAACAAGCACTACCTGCGTGACCAGCAGCATGGGATAGCCATCGCTAAAGCGCGTTTCATAGCCCACGGCATATTCAGGCTCGGTCGTACGCATGTACGGCAGCGAGCTGGCGCCAACAATGCCCGCAGCTGCGGCTTCGGCCTGTAGCAGGTTTTAACAACGAGGCGGAGATTTGCGGCTCACGTGGCTCACCTCCGTACAATGTTCATATGCGCATGTGCTTGTGTGCTTAGTTAGGCGTGAGCGATGCAAGAACGACGGTAAATCAAAACCAAAGCCGCCTTGACAAGGCTGAATGCATGGTGAGGTCCTAGGGCCCGAGGAACGGAGCTATGCTGGGTCGCACACAACACTACTATCCACCTAGGGGCAGCTGCCCTTTACCACCGCGTCTGCATCTCTTGGGGGTACTTCTCCCTCCTCTCCAACTCCCCTTCATCCAACTCCCCATTAGTACTGACGGATTTTAAAGACCATACATGATTGACAACCCCCCAACCATGTTGGCCCCAATGGCCCCTTTTCGCCCTTTCCTTCGTCAGCCCACCTGCTGCTGCTGCTGAGCCCTCGGCTGCTCCGTAGCGCCGCCCGTGCTGCTGCCGCCCGTGCTGCTGCCGCCTGTGCTGCTGCCACCCGTGCTGCTGCCGCCTGTGCTACTGCCCAGGTACCTCACCAGGCGGCAGGGGACACCAAGGTAGCGGCTAAACCACGAGGCCGCGTCGGCGCCCTCATCCTCGCCCAACCCCGTCCACTCCCACACCGTGACCTTGCTGAGCAGACCCAAGGAGGCGCATACATACATACATACATACATACATGGCCGTAGCGAGGGCGCGGATGAGGGGGAGGTGGGCACCCAGAAGGGAGGGCCGTACTCGAAGGTGCGCGCGTGGTGCAGGACTAGGTTCTTCAGGGTACGAGACCGGGTTTTTCGTGTTGCGGCGTCTAGGTGAGATAGGATCTTGGGAACCAGCCGTCTTGGTAGAGCGT